GCGGAGCCCATTCCGCTTCCGTCGCGCTTCGCCGGCGTCAAGAAGCGCCTCATTGCCGGCCACGAAGCCGCCGTCGAGGCTTCTTGGCGCCGCCTCCTCGACGCTCTCAGGACCGAAATCGCCGACATCCAGACCAAGGGCTCCGATCTCATCCCCTCCATTAACTTCACCGACATCAACGACCCCGTGCGCGTCGAGGCCTTCGCCCACCGCCTGCGCAGGTATGGCGTCGCCGTCATCAAGGGCGTCGTCTCTCCCAGCGACGCCCAGAGCTGGGTGCAGGAGACGCACGAGTATCTAGACAAGAACCGCGAGTTCAAGCCGCCTGCACTACACGACCCGACCTGCATCGACCTGTTCTGGACGCCGGTGCAGGTCCGCGCCCGCGCGCATCCCAACATGCTGCGCGCGCAGAAGTTCGCCATGTCCTTCTGGGAGTCGACGGACGATCTGCACATCACCCGCGCTCCCGTGAGCTACGCCGATCGCCTGCGCATCCACAACGACAAGCTGGGCGCCGTCGGCCAGCAGAACGGCAACTCGGCCGCCGACTCCCTCAACGCCAGCGCAGTCATCGCCCAGATCGACAGCGGCAGCCTCGAGCGCTGGGAGCCCGACGGCTACGGCCGCGGCGGCACCTACGAGGCCGTCTTCCGCGGCGACTGGGAGTCGTACGACCCCTGGGACCCGGCCGGCCGCGTCGGCGCCACGACGGACCTGTACAACGGCGCCGGCGCATGCAGCATCTTCCGCATGTTCCAGGGCGTACTGGCGCTCACAAAGGTCGAGCAGGGCATGGTGCGCGTCCTCCCCTCGCCGAAGCTCGTCGCCGCGTACTTCCTGCTCCGGCCGTTCTTCTCGCCGAAACGCGGCCCGCCGGAGCAGCCGGACGGCGGCAAGGCGGATCAATGGGCCGCCTACCTCGACGCGTCGAACTGGACGCTCGACCCGGAGCCCAACACCATCATCCACGGCGCCGTTCCCGGCCACGCACAGCGTATCACGGAACGATGGCACCCGCATCTGCATCTCCGGAGGAGCCTGGTGTCTCTGCCCAGCATGCAGGCGGGCGACTATGTTATCTGGCACTGCGACCAGGCCTACTCAATAATCACGGGTGGCACGAGACTCGGCGTCCCGCCCTCACTGCAGAACGAGTCTAACGAGCTGTCCCTCTTGACCTACACCCCCGTGTGCCCGTTGACCCAGACCAATGCGCTCTTCCTCGCCCGCCAGCGCAAAGCCTTCCAGACCGGGCAGCCGGGACCGGACTTTGACACCCTGTTCGCCCTGGGCAGCGAGGCCTCGCACCAGGACCGTCCCGGTGCCAAGGAGGTCGAGGAGTACGGTGGAGTCGACGGCCTCAGGGCCATGGGTCTGGCGCCGTACGACGTCGAGCCCGCCGGCGCATCGCCCAAGAGGGAGCTGAACGGGGGCGGTGACGCGATGGACATTGACGACGAAGAGGGCCTGCGCAACAAGTCCAGGACGGAGTCGGAGCAGGAGCTTCTGAGGCTGGCCAACATCATTCTCTTCCCCAACCGCTACGACTTTTACATCCCGACGAACGGGAACGGCACGCGGAGCAGCGGTGACCGGACGCCTCGCGCGCAGGGGGCGCCTCCCAAGACCAAGGTGAATGGTGCGAAGAGCTGACGGCGTTGGTTGAAGGGGCGGTGGCGGCGTGGCGGTAGACGTCTTTCGTCGGGCAGAGACGACGAAGACGAGGACGAGGACGAAGAGGATGAGCATGAGCCGGAGACCGTTGTTGAGACCGAGACCGTGGCCTCCAAGGTCAACGAGAAGGATACCATAACAGTCACGGTCGCCGCGGCGGATGTCTAGATTGCGTTTTTCTTACCATGATACCCTGCAGTCTGGCCATCCGTCGGTCGGATTCGGAGAAAGAGATAGAGACGGAAGATGGAGAGAGTGAGGAGGAAGAGTAGGATTTTTGTGAGACCGCCCCCTTCAACGTGACGCTGGAAAGCAAGCAAGCAAGCAGACATGTATGCGCAGACGATGATGATGATGACGGAGACTCGATGTTACGAGACGGGATCTGTCGAGGATAGATCGCGATTAGATGTAGTGGAAACAGACGACCATTGGTACGTGTAGTACCTAGATTATCAGACAGACAGACACTATTGCATTGATGGAGCTTGGCAGGGCCCGCTTTGAGGCGGCGATGCATTCTCTTTTTTGCTGTTACCAATTTCTGTTTTGTTTTCGATTTCGGCGGTTGGTTGAGACTTTCGGACGAGTAATCGCGAGTGTCGTCAATGATCATGATGACTAGTACCTAGTAGTAGAGGAGGATTACAGGCATGGGGAGGCTTGGTTATGAGTCCCGGCCGGGACGTTGCCGGCTCAGTGTTGGACAGGGACCGGGACGCATTCCCGGTTCACCAGTTCTTGAGACGGACCACCGCCGGCCCCTGCTTTGCCGCCATTTCTCAACCGGCAGAGGACATCTCGGGCTGTCGATTGATCCCGTGTGACTCGTTGGTCGTCATCCGCGCCCTTATGAGGTTGGAGGTGAGATAGGAGACACCAGTATATAGTTTTTGGTTCTCTCACACAGCGTCTCGTTCCGCATCAATGTGTTTGCTTGTGAACATCACCTCTACAACACCACGAATACAACAAGAACACGGAGGCCGCGCGCGGAGCCATCGCCGCACACGCAGGTACCCACGCGGCGCGCTCCCCCGCGGTCTGCTCCCGGTTTCCATTTGTTGCCAATCGGCGTTCCGGTCTGTCATTATCTTCCCTTGAACCGAGCTCTGACCGGTCGGTGCCCATCGTTCGTTTCTGTCGCGCGCCAGCGAGAGAAAAAACCCCTCTCGGTCTGGGTCCTATCTTGGCCTCTTAGCGTTCTGGCGTGACCCATAACGCGACGGAAAGTACGTAATGAAAGCTCACGCCAAAAAAGAGGAACCTCATCCAGGTCGAGTGTCGCCGCCGAGTGCACGCGGCGCTCCGTGATAGCCAATTCCCCGGATGTGGGTGGCACTTGGGGGCACTGGCTGGACTGCCAGGACTGGGCATCAAGTTTGCAATATGGTCAAGGGTCCTTGGGATTCCGGTGCCTGAAACTCACTCCACTGTCGTCCGATTTTGCTATCGTTCTGGAAGCATTCTGGCTGCGTCTTTCATTGGTAGAGACATCGAGACTTGGCAAGTCCAACATGATATTGTGCGGGAGTACTCTACTTTGTACGGTTAGTCCTTGTCTCTTGAAAGTCTCTTCTTCTTCCCAGCTCTGCTCTGCAGCAGGGCGAAGAACCTGAACGGCAGCAAATGCGCCCTATGCAGCCTGCAGCCAGCGAGTCAGTCCCGACATTCCCGCCAAACCATGATGGGGAGGGCGCCATGCCGTGCTGGGTTTGGCCGGTCGGGGTTCTACCCGCTTTCTATGTTCCTGTGCAGGATGCCCTGGAACGCTCTGCCAAATGCCACCGCAAATCATCCCGCCCCCTGTTGGAAGACCTGAACTGAAGGTCTTTCAGGTCCTTCAATACCTACCTCACTGCCGGTATGCATGTTCAGGTTCCGGGAGGCAGACATGTTCGTTCGTTGCCCGCGAGCTGTCAGCAACAGCTTAGAAGCCTGATGTGCCATCTTGCCAAGCAAAAACATGCAACGCTACACACCATTGTCGGGGTGGCCGCCGGCCCAGCACGCGGTCAATCATTATCTTTCGGCAGTGTGGCAGCCAAGCAACCAAGGGATTGCGCCCCAAGTTTTGCCTCTCATTCTGTCTCTGGAGTCTTACTCCAAGGGCCTACGACGTCCGTCGGGTAGTGGCTTGTTTCTCCATGTTCAAGTGAACTAAAGTTGAACGAATCCGACGTCGGATGGTCTCGACCCATCGTCGCCAAGCCTGGCAGACCGGCGAACGGGCCAAAGGCTTGACATGATGGCCGAGGTGTTTTCTCCAGCGACGATTGGGCGATCCAGGAAGCCGAGAGGCGCGGAAAATGCTTGTCTGCGCGGGACTGTTCCCATCGAAACAAGATACAGTACCTTCAATTACGTCGGAGATTTTTACTGTTTACATGTACACACTGCCCTTGTCTCTCGGATCAGTGGCTATCGTCGGCAACCGATTGACCATTCTTCATCGTCTTACCCCAACGTTTGATGTGATTCTCATGCAATTGACGCCGCTGGTATCTCATCAACGGTGGGACTACGGCGGAACATGAGAGGGGAGAGAGAAGGCAACAGGGGGGCAAAAGATGCAACTCACAACTCTTACTCACAGATCTACCAAAACCACCCTTGGAACCACAGCATTATGAACATCTTTTGGAAGGGCCTTCGCTCCGTTATCGTCGGTATCGGCCGCCCTGACGTTGCTCCGACAAGGGTTCACCCCCGCGCCCACCGCACCCATTGATCGCCCCAGCCAGCTGCCACCCATTCACAAGCGTTCCCCGGCCGTTTCTGCTTATCTGCGTGGGGACCCTATTGCCGTACGCAGATGGGGCCCCATCGACGGTTGGTCTTGTCTATCATGACCCGAGTAAGTTACATACTGCGTTGTAGTAGTCGCTTTCTCTCTCACCTCCCACACTGCGCGCGCACACCTGCTATGCAGTACACGCGCCTCCCAGGAACCGCCGAACCGGGAGACGTCAGATGAAGGTTGGGTGGCTAGCCGGGGAGGGAATGGATCCGCGCGGACGACGCAGAAGAGGTAGCGTCGGGGGAACCAGGCAACCCAGGGGCCACGAGCCTGCGAACTGCTTCCGGCATTTCTGATAGAAATAGATGGCCTGTCTCGCTCTCATCCCTCGGTCTGTGGTTCCCGTGGTGTCCTCGTCTTCCCTATCCCAAACGGTCTGATCGGCGTCGTGAGCATTAGTTGCCGACCCTGCAGCACATAGAGTCCGAAGAAAGACTATTCTCACCACAGTCCTTCTCTGAGAATAATTCGGGCCCTAGACCTTTGAGTCAAAACACCACACTGCCAGCATCAACCTGCCATCATGGCTGCTGGCATGGAAGAAAAGACTGTCGGCCTCTCCCGCGCCGACAGCACCAACAGCAACAAGCTCGGCCAGGTCGAGTCGGGCAACAATGCCGCCGTTGCACAGCAGTACGGTGAGACCGTTCGTGGTCTAAGCCCTCGCCATGTCCAGCTCATGGCCATTGGAGGTTCCATCGGTACTGGTCTCTGGGTATGTTTGCTTCCCGCGATGATGGCCTCACTTTCAACTCAAGCTAACCCCCTTACCAGGTCGGTATTGGCGGTGTCCTCTCCAAGGCCGGCCCTCTCTCCCTCGTCCTCGGATACGCCTTCTGGGGTCTTCTCTTCATCTGGCCCCTCAACCTGTCCGTCGCCGAGATGTGCGCCTACCTGCCCATCCGCGGCTCCATCTTCGAACTCGCCTCTCGCTTTGTTGACCCTGCTCTCGGATTCGCCATGGGATGGACCTACTTCTTCGCCGGCCTCATGCTCGTGTGTACAGAATACAGCGCCGTCGCAACCGTCATTCAATACTGGAACTCCGACATCAACGCCGCCGCCTGGATCGCCGTCGCCATGGTTTCGTGTGTCGCCGTCAACTTGATTGCAGTCAAGTACTACGGCGAGTCCGAGTTCATCATGGCCTCGACCAAGGTCATCCTCCTGTTCGGCCTGTGCCTCATCACCCTCGTCACCATGTCAGGCGGCAACCCCATGCACGATGCCTACGGCTTCCGCAACTGGGGCGGCGGTAACTACATCCACTCCTACTTCACCGATGGCGCGACGGGTCGATTCCTGGGTTGGTGGAAGGTCGTCATCTACGCCGCCTTCACCATTGCCGGCCCCGACATGATTGCCCTGGCCGCTGGCGAGATCCAGAACCCCCGCCGCACCATCCCTCGCGTCGCCAAGCTCATCTTCTACCGTCTTGTCGGCTTCTACGTCGTCGGTGTCCTCTGCGTCGGCATCATCTGCTCCTCCCGCGACCCCGGTCTGCTGGGCGCCATTGAGAACGGCGAGCCTGGTGCCGGTGCCTCCCCTTGGGTTGTTGGTATCAAGAACCTGCACATCAAGGCTCTTCCCGACATCATCAACGCCTTCATTCTACTTTCTGGATGGTGAGTTTTCTTTTCTCTGTCAGCATCTACTCTATATATACTAACAACGCCTAGGTCCTGCGGCAACGCCTACCTCTACTCCTGCTCCCGAACCCTCTACGGTCTCGCCCGCGACGGCCAGGCCCCCAAGTTCCTCCAGAAGTGCACCAAGGCCGGCGTGCCCATCTACTGCGTCCTGACCGTCACGCTCATCTCGTGCATCACCTTCCTCGTCTCTTCCAACGCCGCCGTCGAGGTCTTCTTCTGGTTCGTTGACCTGACCACGACCGCCCTCATCATGACCTACACCTTCATGCTCATCACCTACATGGGCTTCTACCGCGCCCGCGTCGCCCAAAACTTCCCTCCCGAGACGCTGCCCTACATCGCGCCCCTGACCCCCTGGTTCCCCGCCCTGGCCCTGCTCCTGGGCTTCCTCGCCCTTATCTTTGTCGGCTTCGACAACTTCTACCCCTTCAGCGTCCGCGGTTTCATCACGTCCTACTTTGGCTTCATCTTTGGCGTCTTCACGTTTGTCGTCTGGAAGGTCCTCAAGCGCACGCGCTTCGTCCAGCCCAAGGAGGCCGACCTGCTCAGCGGAAAGGCCGAGGTCGATGCCGAGTGCAGACACTGGGAGGAGGGTGGCATTGAGGAGGTGGAGAGGGCGAGACTGGCCCAGATGTCTGTTGTCCGCAGAACCTGGGAGAAGATGTGGTAAACAGCCACTATGATCTACAAGATACCTGAATTTTCGTTTCAATGACAAAAAGTTTCATCATCCAAAATGCTCTCTCCGTGTGTGTCTCTTCCAGTGATTGACTGTGTAACCCTAATGTGCCTCGCCCTCCCTTTGTCAGGCCATGTCTCTCAAAGCCATCCTTAGAGTCTCAGAGCCCAACATGCCGTGGCCCGGCTTCCTCTTGGCCGAAGACAAGCATCCGATCCCATCGCGTCCAGCCGCGGCAAACCCACATCTTCCCCAGAACCCCAGGCCAAGCACCACCCATCGTGTCCATGTCGACTCCATCGCGGCGCTCCAATGCTCCAATTCCTCGCATTCTCCAACACCAAATTACGTAAACTAGCCTCCCCCGCACGGCGACTATGCGGGGTTCAAACGGAGTCATCCGTCCCCTGCATTTTCATCCGTGTGTGTGCGCGGTCTAGTTCCTGGTAGTTCCTCGAGCCGTGACCTCATCTCGTTACGTTAATTAGTTAGCGCCGCCAGACAGAACAAGGCCGGCCCGGTCCCTGTGCTGTGTCGCAGCGAGAGAGAAACCGACAATCGGAGTTGAAGCCCACCTTGCTTGCTGCCCAAGCGATGCGATCAGCACGATACTCAACCTCCCGACAGAAAGCCTGCTGCCAATGCGTCGCCGCCAAAGCCAAGTGTGATCGGAAGCCCGGATGTTGCGCGCGGTGTGAACAGCGGGGACTCCCGTGTGCATATGCACCGACAAGTCACACCGCGCCGCAGCCAACACGGTCTCAGCCGGAGTTGAGCCCCTCAGGTCCGGACGTCGACACGGAGACGCCCGGGCGAAGGGACGCAGACAACCATCTGCCGTCTCCGGAGCATGACATATCCGATGCTTCGGTTTACTCTGCTTACTCGGCATCGGGTACGACGCCGACTGATGCCGATGATACTCGCGACCGACCGGCGCCGGGCCCGCTTCCCCCCGCCAACACCGGAGTTGAGCTGAACTTTTCCAACATGAACCTCACGTGCCCGATCAACCCCGACGACATTGCGAACCGATGGCTGCACAATTTCGTGCCATTGCCGGGCCAAACAATCAAGAAGTACACCCCCAGCATCTCCGCCTTTATCCATCGGGTGCTGCAATCCTACGCAAACTGCGCAATCCGCGGCCACAGGGTGCCGCCTTTCATCCACTGGTCACAGCTTAACTCCCCATCCAGTGTGCCCCTTTCGACATGTCTATCAGTGATACGCATGTGTGCCAACCCACATCCAGGCAGCGAGGGCGTCATCGCCGAGGTTCTCCAGCGGGAGATGACTAAACTCTACGACAGAAAGACAACCTTTGACGACATGGCCCTGCTGGCGGCCTTCCAGGCATATCTCATCTACGCCATGGTCATCTTCTTCCGGCTCGGTCGCGAGTACAAGACGTTCTTGCACCAGGCCATGATGAACACGCAAGACCTCGCGTGCGAGACGGCGCGAAGGGGCCTTGCGTGTGTCGCAGAACAGCAAGGTGCCAGGCCGAAATGGGAGGAATGGATCGTCGCGGAAACGAAGAGGAGGGTGGTGTTTACAATGTGCATGTTTGACAGTGCCCTCTTGACGAATGACGGTCTCCCGAGTCATCTTGCTACCGAGCTTCGAGGGCTGCTTGCCCCGGGTAGCAAGTCTCTGTGGGAGGCGAGGGACCGACGTGACTGGGAGGTCAAGTACAATATTCAGCTTGCGGCGTGGAACGATGGAGGGCTCCGGATTGAAGAGCTCTGGCCAATGCCAGAGCATTTCGGTGAGGCAGAGACGGAGAAGAGGCGGGAGCGAGTTGAATTGTGGCTGGAAGATCTTGATGAGTATGGGACGATGGTTTATGCTGTCACTTTGTGTACGCATGGAGGCTGATGATGGTGTCATGGAAGCTTTGGGGCTCAAAAGACCCGTTATGATGATCATTCGATGTGTGAAAACTAGCATTTCCCAGACAATTCCAGCATCCTCAAGGCCTCGTCCAATGTAATGACCCTAATATTCATATGCTTCAACTGATTTCTGAGGAGACATTTTCTCAGCTCCGCGCTCCCATCTCCCGGAAACTCCATCACATTGTCAGAGATGACGTAAATATTGTAATACTGCGAAGAAGAAAACTAGAAAGGAAGAAAGATTGTAGTCGAGATCGAACAGGCGGTATACGGTGCTCATGACGACGCCAGAAAGAGTGATACCAGACTATTATAATAATATTTAGTTTCGAGCCAGCATACAAGTCTTAGATAACTCACAATGACAACCGTGTTGATAGCCTGCGCTTTCGATATCTGCTCCAACCCCAGCACCCGCGTACCACCTCGTCTTGAGAAGAACAATGTCTTTCTCGTCCAGCTTCAAACTTTTGTCAATTTGGACTTCTGGGGAGCCTTTCACAAAGTCTCCGAATCCATCAACAAGATTCGCAAATGGTGAGGGTCTTGCCAGCTCCGGTTGGGAGGCATCTGTGAAGCAGAGAGTGGTGAAAATGGTGAGCGGCCTTGGATGATCCTGGTGCACGGCTTCGTTCCATCGGACACAATTTGATATAAAAAGCTTGCCTTCATCGGTTTTATTGATGTTGTCGAACATCATTGTCATTAAGTCGAGGTTCAGAATGGCGAATCGCTTGCCAAAAGATGGGGCACCTTCGCCCGTAGGGTGCACATCTACCATTCTCATGATGGCACAACAATGAGGTGATAATCTCAAGATCTATGATGTGATATTTAGGACATTTAAGTTGAGAGATTCGCATGGCCATATTCCCCAAGAACAAACCTGCCCTTCTCAAACATCGACGCCGGAGTTGAGATGCTCAACTCCGGAAATGTGGGGCTCAGCTCCGGTCTTGTTCCGAACGCCACAGCGAAGAGTGATCGGGTCGACAAGTTGATAAAGAAAGACGGAATCTCATTGTTGCACCAGTAAGGATGAACTCGATCAAACAAAGTCTTGTTTCCCGGATATTTCATCGAGATTGACGAAATGACTGCTAATGAAGAGCAACCAAGCGTGTCAGGAATGCCCTTAGTGACAACACCGTACAGCATCTTTGACAAGCGCCAAAAAGTGTTGATCATCATTTTAGTATCAACAGCGGCCACATGTGAGGGTTCAATTGACGACACGTGTAAGCGAGAGCTGACCAAAACAGTTTCCGGATTCGCGTCAAACATCTACTTCCCGGCCCTCTCCACCATCGCCGACGACCTCAATGTTTCTGTCGAGCTCATCAATCTCACAGTCACCACCTATCTCATCTTCCAAGGTCTCGCCCCGAGTCTCTGGGGTCCCATTTCCGATGTCAAAGGTCGAAAGGTCGCCTACATTGGCACCTTTTTGGTATTTTTCGGGGCATGCGTCGGCCTCGCCGAGATCAAGTCGTATGCCGGCTTGATTATTCTCCGGTGCGTCCAGAGCATGGGCAGCGCAAGCACGATCGCCATAGGGTCCGGCGTTATTGGGGACATCACGACGCGCGAGGAGCGTGGGGGCTTCATGGGCGTTTTCCAGGCTGGGCTGCTGGCTCCTGTTGCCATCGGTCCGGTCATTGGGGGTGCTCTTGCGGGGTCGCTGGGCTGGAGGAGCATCTTCTGGTTCCTGACCATCTACTGCGGGATATTCCTGTTGTTTCTGGTTGTCCTGCTACCAGAGACGCTGAGATCGGTCGTTGGAAACGGTGGACGGGCGCCGTCGACGTTGTTGCAGAAATACCCGTTGGTGTATTACCAGCGAACGACGAAGGTGAAGTGGGATGTTGAGGAAACGACGCCTGGCATGACACCTCGCAAGAAGGTCGACTTGACAGCACCCATCCGGATTCTCTTCAACAAGTCGGCCGCGTCTATTACAGTCTTCCTCGCCATTTACTATGCGGTGTGGCAGATGAGCATCACCGCCATGTCCACACTCTTCAAGACCAATTACGGGCTCTCCGACACGCACATCGGACTAACCTTCATCGCCAACGGAGCAGGTTCGATAATCGGTACGTTGGCGACCGGGAAGTTCCTGGACATGGATTATCAGAAAGTCAAGGCAACATACGGAGAGCAAGATAACGACTCGGATTTTCCGATCGAAAAGGCACGTCTTCGGCTGGTGCCCGTGTTTGCCCTCTTTCAATGCGTGTCGATTGCTGCATTTGGGTGGACAATCAACTTTCCAGAGAAGGTGCATATTGCGGTGCCCATTGCATCAACGTTTGTCACGGGATGGACAGCCATCGGCACGCAGTCGCTGGTCATGACCTATCTCGTGGACATCTTCCCTGACCGAAGCGCGGCAGCGAGTGCCAGCCTCAACCTGGCGAGATGCTTGTTTGCGGCAGGAGGCACGAGCTTCGTGATGCCAATGGTCAACTCGATTGGTGTTGGATGGGCCTTCACCGTTTGCGTGGCGGCGCAGGCCGTCGCTGGTCTTCTTGCTGGCGTACAGTGGAAGTTTGCTGGAAGATGGAGGCGTCAGGAGGCTGAAGGGCAGGCATGAACAGCGAATCTGGTTGGATGTTGGCCACGAACGTGACCAGGAAGATGGGCAAATGGCAAGGGCTTACTTTGAAATGGGGCGATTGGGGTAGATGGGCTAGACAAAAGCATTCTTTGAACCCGAGATTCGAAAGTTTTCAAGTACGAGATGCCAAAGAGAATTCACGCGAGGCGGCTAATGGCATGGAACTGATTAGGTAAGAAAGAGTACGGCTGCCTGATGTCTGCCGGCGGAAGGTGAAGTTGAAGCAGGTGCCTTCCTCGTCAGATGGAGGTTGACCTGGAGTTGAGGAAGGAGGCCTGAGGTGTGCTTTCCTCATCTCAAACAAATGGAAGGCATCACCTCCTTCCTTTGCTCCTTCCATGTGAGCGAGTGTCGACTGGTGCCTGCCTCACTCCTGCCTCGCAAAGCGGAAAGCGCATCTCGCACCTTCTTTCCCAGCGACGCGTCGACCCGTGACCTTGGCGGCTTCCAACCTTGAGAACTCGGCGTCGGCCCTTCCTCGCGGCGCAACTCAATCTCTGCACCTGCCCTCCCCATCGACGCCTTCCATCTTTCCCAAGGTTCACGTCGTCGTCCCGGTCGTCCACAAAACTCTTTCCTCTTCACCGTTCTTACCACTTTCAGACTTCACCTTCTCTTTCCCTTTCCCTTTCCATTCCTCCCCGTCACACGTCTCACGATCGCCAGCACCGCCAAGATGGCTCCTCAGGACGCGAAGCTCTGCTTCGATCTCGGCTTCCGCTACTTCCTTGCCGCCAAGGACATCCCCGCGCATGTCGCCTGCCTCTGGCAGTACTTCTCTCTCGCCAAGTGCCGCAAGGGTCTTGAGAGCTGGGTCGTTTCTGTTCCCGCTGCCAAGCATGCCTCCAATGCCAAGGGCTCCGACCGCATCCAGCTGCTGCGCTTCGCGGTATGTGAAATCCCCTCGCGAATCCCCTCAAAACCGCAACTTCCCCCGTATCAGGCTGACACTCCACACAGATCCGCTTCACCCACAAGACAGCCACATACGCCGACATCGACGAGGCCCGTGTTATCTTTAAGAACGCCTTCAACACTGCCGCTCTGTACGTCTGCGGCATGGGAAAAGCTCCTGCCCGTGAGCGAGGCCTTCTCGAGTACCACAAGCTGCTGCGTTTCGATGTCACCGTCAGAAATGATGATTCCTGGTCCTGGGGCAACTGGGGATTGAGCTCCTACTACTACAACGGCACCACCCCCGATGACGATTCCGCCATATCCGCCATGGAGCGCTTCAAGCAGAAGTATCAGGAGGTACGTCCTACTCACCTTTCTACTCCCCCCACCCACATTCTGACAACAACCCAGGCTGTTCCTTACTCTGTTACCCCCGAGACCCCCACCCGCACCTCCTCCGCCGCCTCGGAGTTGCTTGTTCAGGCCTCTGGAGCCGATAAGCGTCTGCGAAAGCTCGTTCCGTCGCTCAACAGCAGACAGGATGTCGATATCTTCAACGATAGGGTCCGATGGGTCATTGAGGGCCACGCCAGCATCCTGGCATGTGCCACTGAAGCCCACAGCAATGCCCAGATGGCGTCCGACTCCGCCGCCGAGGTGACCAAGTTCTCCAACCCCAAGGAGAAGAGTGCCATCCTCAACAGAAGCATGTGGGAGAAATTTGCCAGCCTCTTTGACAGAGACCACCACAACAAGTACACGGAGGCCACGGCGAAGCTCAATGACCGGGCCGTCTCCCTCCAGGAGGATGCCAAGGCAATGAAGGCCCTGGTGACTCAAGGTTGGCCCTCCCTCCCCCATGATCCCACTGGATCATACTTACGACGGCATCATGTGCTAATTATGCCGACAGTCAATGCCCAACTTGCGCAGCACGCCTGCGCTTGCAGACTGCTCACCCTCTACGCCAACACCAAGATTGAGCATGGCCAACTGCTGTCCATCTGGGAGCGACCCGACGCGGACAAGAAGTTGCTGGTCAGCCTCTTTGGCGCCGATATCAAGCAGATGGAGGCTCCGACCGGTCGTTTCTCCCAGTTGTGCAATGAGATGGAAAGATTTGAGGTTGGCCAGCGTGCGCTGCGCAAGGGGGAGAAGAAGCTCATGAAGGGCCTCAAGAAGATGGAGGGCAAGCTGGAGCGCCTGAACAAGGACTCGGTCAAGGCCCGGAACAAGTTCGCTGCTGGCCAGCTGCGCGCGCAGAAGGGCAAGGTGTCGGCGAAGTTGGAGGATCTGGAGAGCGACACGGACAGCACCTACTCTTACGACGAGAAGATGTAGAGGGGGTGCCTTCTGAGAGAATCTGGCAGGATGTCATGGAGACAGGACGTTTCTCGCCTTCACAAAGGTCATACGCCATCATGTCGTTAGATTTGCTGAGGTTTCGGGGTTTTTACGATTGACAAAGTGGCTGAATGCAAACAAGGGTTCACTGATTTGTGTACATTGTGAATCAATATCGTCCAAGTGTAATGGTGACAGGTTGTGTCCGAAAGAGGAAAACGCTGCACTTGGTGGTGGAAGCCGGAGGCTGTGATTCCCGTCGTGCGAGACGGTAGTCGGCCGGGCCCGGGCCTGAGGCCCGAACCCCGGCCTGAATCCTGCCTTTACGTAAGGGATTGGCTACACTACTTTGTAGCTAGGCGTACCTGGCGCTTATAGCTAGATTAATTAAGCTACTTTATATAGGTTATAAGCCCTCTAAATACTTAAAATCTATTTACTAAATAATAAGGTTATTTTTAAGTAGCTATTAGGACTCTAACTTTATAGTTTAGTAATTACTATAGGGTAATTAATAGATTATTAAACTATTAGAAATAATACTTCTAAGTAGAGGTTATAGTTATTATAATATATATCCCCTACTTATAAAATCTCTTTAACCTTTAGGCTACTAAAATTAATAATTATTTAATAATTACTATAGTTATATAGTAATAATTACTTAATAAATATCTAATAATTACTTATAATTACTCTTTAAATTTCTCTTAAACTACTAAATTAATTAAATAAATTAATATATCTTTAATTAGTAATCTAACTCTATTTTCTTTTAGTTCTATTAGAAGGGGATTATTCTAGATTAACTTTCTCCCTTTTTCTATTATAAACCTTATAGCTAGAGTAGCTATATAGAAAATAGCTAGTAAAGGATTAAATCTAAGAAGTTTAGTATATAATACTATCCTTAAACTAATTAAAGTTATAAGTTTTAAATTATAGGAAATTAATCTTAAGAACACCTTTAAAGTAATAAAATTACTCTTCTACTTAATAGCTAAAAGGATATTAGTTAGATATAATAGAAATATAGTTTTTAAAGAAAATAAAATAGTAGTAGTTAAAGATCTAAACTTTTTAAGTAATCTAATATTTATAGGTTTTATACTTATTAGATAGTTACTTATAGAGAAGATTTAATATAATTTCTTAGAAGAAATAATTAATAATAGTCTTTCTATTATAGCTTTAACTTTCTATATTTTTATTAAAACTAAAGAATATACTTAGAAGTTTAATAAGCTAGCTATAAATAAAGTNATATTTTTATTAAAACTAAAGAATATACTTAGAAGTTTAATAAGCTAGCTATAAATAAAGTCTATAATAACTAAAATAAAATAACTAGAATTAACTATAGTAATATTAAGGATTTTATATAAGATCTTTACTTAACTTTTAATAAACTAAATAGTTTTAATATAAGTTTATTAATTATAGCTCTTATTTATAGATTTATTTAAGGTTTTAGATATTTTAATTAAGTTAAAATAAACTTTATAGAGAATAACTTTATTATAAGGATTTAAAACTATAATAATTTCTTATAAAAACTTAGAGGCTTAAGTAAAAAGGAATAATATAAATAAGCTTCTTAAGGTATTAAAGCTTTATTAAATAAGAAGAAGTTTATTATAAAGAAGTAAACTTAAGTTTTTAAGTTTAAGAGTATAGAACTATAAGATTTATATATTTCCTATAATATTAAGTATCTTAAGACTCTCTATAAATATAAGATATATAACTATTATTATAAAAAGATAATATTATACCTAAATAAGTATAATAATTATTCCTTTAAATATTATAGATATTATACTTTAGTATATAATAAGTTTAAGTATATTAATAAATTACTAATAACTTAGTAATTAATAATATAGGTATTTATTTTAGTATTTACCTTAAAAAGCTAAACTTAAGATAGTATTTTTAGAAACTCTAATATTAAATAGAATATTAATTAATAATTTAAAGCTTTTATAGATACTCTATTAGCTTAAGTTTAAAAGAGAACCTTTCTACTATTCTTAATAAAAAACTTTAGAATATCTAATCTATACTTTAACCTTTAACCTCTAGCTAAAGATCTATATAAAATTATATATATATAAGGAGTTAGGAAGTAACTAATAAAGGAATCTATATACTCTAGCTATAATTTTACTAATTAAGCTATAAATATAGAGATTAATAGTTTCTTTATATATAGTACTATTAAGAAAGTTAATAAAGAAGAAAATAATAACTAAGAAGTATAACTAAGTTAATATATTATATCTATAACTTTAATTAAGAGGATAGACTCCTTTATACTAAATACTAATACTAGTAGATATATTCTTAATAATCTCTCTATCTTTAAGGAACTTTAAAATCTCCCTTAAGGATTAATTATAAACTATATAAGTAGAAAGGATTAAATTAGCTAAGCTATTAGTATAACTAAAGTAATTACTATTAAACTAAGTAATAAAAAAACTATTTTCTAACTATATAGTACCCTCTATAAACCTCATAATATAGTATAAATTATTAGTACTAATCTTCTTTAAAAAATAAATATCTATTTTAATAATTTAGATAATACTTTAGTTTATAAAGATATATCTAAAGTTATTACTAACTTTAAATAAGATATATAAGTCTCTTAGTTTTAGATCTATCCTTCTAACTAAGGTAATAAATTTAACTCTCTTAAGCTAAATTACTAAACTTTTTATACTTATTTAAGGTATCTATCTAGAGAAGTAACTATTATTATTATAAGAGATACTAATATAAACCTCTTTAGAGTACCTCTTATAGGATATAAGTATTATATCTACCTTATAGTAAAGTTAATATAATATACTAGTAATAAATAATAAGAATAACTAACTTAGACTTTTTAGAGGCTTTAGATTAATTTCCTAAAACTAATACTATAAGGTTTTAGAGGTATTACTTATAGCCTCTATATTATAGAAACTTTCTTAATTTATAGATAGTTTTAAGTATTTAAATTAAAGAAAGATATAGCTATTTAGCTATAAAGCTAGTTTCTAAAAAAGATTATAGTAATAAATAGTATTATTTACTTCTCTAAGGTTATTATAGATAATAATATAGCTCTTTTTAAAATAATAAAACCTTTTACTTAAGAATAAAGCTTTTATTTAGAAATAGTAACTTTAAATTATTATTAGTAGAATAAGGAGGTAGAAAGTTTTAATAAGGTTATATAGTAGAAAGTATAAGTAATATATATAAAAATTAGCCTTTTTAAATCCTTTTAGCTTTAGTTAATAAAAACTTCTATTAAAGTTAGTAATCTACTATCTAATAGTAAGGGTAATATTAGTCCTTATAAGAAATTAGTAAATACCCTTAATATATCTCTTATTATAAGAAAACTATATATATACTATCTCTACTATTAAAGCTACTAAATTTATATCTATATTTACTTAGATAGCTATCTATATATAAAAGGATAGAAGATAAAGTTTAAAACTAAACTTAGAAGATTTATAGGATATAATAGCTTCTATAGTAATATCTTCTATATTTTTATTAAAAAGACTAATAGTATTTAGTAGGTAAGGGATATAATATTTAAGGAAGATAAAGGAGAGCTCCTTTTAGTTAAATTTAATAACTTATAGTTAAAAGAAGAGGTTAAGTTAGAAACCTATAAGTATAATAATAAACTACTAATTATAACCTATAAAGCTAAGTTTTAGTTTTATAATTTAAATATAAGGTTATATTATTATATTTATTCTACTAAATAAGAATAACTATAAAGAGAGGTAGATAATTTATACTTAGAAGATACTTAGGAATTAGAGGGTAATAATAAATAAGAATAAGAAAATAAACTTCTTTAAGAATAAGAAGAAGTTAGTAGAAAGGGAGGTAGTTTACTAACTTTAGATTTAGAATTATATATACTAATATAAAATACTAATACTATAAATATATAGGTATAATTAATACTAAAAGAAGATTCTCTTTTATATTAATATTCTCCTACTACTCCTCTAAATTAGAGTTCTCCTACTATCTCTTATTAGTAATAGAGTTCTCTTACTATATTATTATAGCTAGGATCTTTTATTATTTCCCCTTAAATACCTTAACTAATATAAAGAAGACTAAAGAGAAGATTAAGAGGTAATAATAAAAGCTTTACTCTTATAAGATTATTAAGAGTAGCTACTTCTTCTTCTATTTAAATAACTTAGATATTTAAAACCTAAATATTATATAATATAAAGAAATTTAATAGGAAATTTAGTAAGATAGAGGCTATAAAGATTAACCTAATTAATAATAAAATAGACTAAGAACTAGTTATTTTTACCTTCTTAGTATTTAATTTATTATAAGCTTTTAGCTTAGAGATTTACTTACTTATAACCTTTAGGAAGTAGGAGGTAATAGAAAAAGGACCTCTAAAGTTAGCTATTTTTAATATTATAAAGACTTAAGTTAAAAGCTTATAAAGGATAGAATATTAGTAACTTAAAGAGCTTTTAGATAGTTTTAAATATCTCTTAAGTAAATAGGTATATAATAAAAAGGTTATTATAGATAGAAGACTTAATAGAGTTAGAATAAGATAGGTTATCTATAGTAACTTTTAAAATAAGGATAGTAAGATAGTTTATATTACTATTATTAATCTTATTACTTTATAAGTCTTTTTACTAATTATAACTTTTAAAGATCTAAAACTTCACTAAATTAATATAGTTATAATCTTCTTAAATACCTTTATAGAAGATTATAATATCTTTATTACTTAACTTTATAGGTTTAATAATAGAACTAGCTAGTTCTATAAATTAAAAAGAGTTCTCTATAAGTTAAGAGAATCCCCTCTTCTCTAGTATAAATAAATTATTACTATCCTTAAATAATTAAGGTTTAATTTACTCCTAAAAAAACCTTATATTCTTATTAATAAGGATAGTATTATAATATTACTTTATATTAATAATATACTT